TAGTCACACCGAGCCACGCGCTCACGTCCACAGCAAACAACAAAAAGAAAGGATGGACACGAAGTGGTGTCAGAAAAGTCACTGAAAGTAATAGAGTAGAATTAGTGCAAAGCGGAATATCAGAAACACACAGAGTTGTATTTTCTGAAGTTTGAAGTTTGACAATTGTGAACGATTGCCGGTTTTTAAAGTTTTTTTGTGAAAAAAGAGCACAAGGCAACCCAGGTTTGCAACAGAAATATATGCCCGTTCCATTATTTCTTGAGGAAAGAGTGAGGCAACAGGCTGTGAGGTATCAAAAATTTCAAAATTCGTTGGACACACACACGAAATAATGGCAATTTTTTCTTGACCGTTTTCTTGAGAGCTGCATACAGGGCTTTAGTATCCAGCTCTTAAGAAAATGCACAAGAAAATGTTCGTGTTCTTTCTTCTGCTTGAAATAGTAGTAGGCCAGTAATTTTGACGTTTGATAATGCACCGTGAATAGTAAACAATGGCAGAAGAAGAGCGGTAAAAAGTAAACAAAAGAAACAATCTTTTGCCTATGACCAATTTGTAAGTTTATAACAATATTTTTCCTTAAATTTATTAAAGTACATTTTAATTTATTTTGATTCAATTTCAGGAGATAGTTTTCAGTATCCGAAATGGAAGATTACGAGTAAGTTTTACAGGGAAATGTTCCGAATACATAGTATCGGTAATTTTGATGCTAGTACAAAAAAAAAAAAACAAAACGGGCGTGTCACCTCCCAATTTTCCAACTTGAAAGAACAAAGACCAAGGAATTCAATGACTTTCCCCTCTTTCTCTTCCGACTACAGGGCTCCACTGGCAAGCCTCCTGAAATTAGGGGAAACAACAAAAATGTAAACAAACAAAAGGAAATGTCAAAAAAAGCAGTCACTGACAACGCCGTATTGTGTTTGCTACGGCAGTGACTGCCAATATTAACAGCAACAGCTGATTTTAAAAACTATCACTGCCACTGCGCTATTGTATTTTGGGCTAAACTCAGTTTACTCTAAGTTTATTCTGACACTGAAAAACAAGAAACGACTGGCGTGCTTTGTTGAACTCGGCCAAAATAGCTTAGGCGGTTAAGCTGAAGCTCTATAGCAGGCTTTTCACGCGTTGCGGCTTGAAGCGCTCAAGCCTGAAAGATGATTTAGTGAAATTGTATAGAAGCTGCTCCATAACTAAAGTCTGAAAAGCCTGAAAGATGCCAAATTTCGAACTTGTTTCAAGCTTTTCAGGCATCGTCTGAGAGTTACTAATTCGAACATTAGTACTGGTCATGATGCAATAAAACGAGGTGTTGGACGTAGTGACAACTCGATTTGGTGCCGCATTAGCTCAGTGGAATAAAAAGAAAAACGGGAAGAAATTAATCCCCGTTTGGGGGAAAAATGTAAAATTTCATATTTTCTTCTAAGCAAAATTTGATTTTTTATAGTATATAGCTGAAATACAATGCCGGCGAACGGCGAACTCACCACAGCGAAATTCGCGCTGTCAAAATTAGAACACCCGCAAGCATATGAAATTGAACACAGCCAAAGCGAAATGCGAAGTTCGCTTGGCGGCGTTTCATGGCGATAGATTTATTTCTATCGCTCTGCTGGGCGATGACAGCTGTGAGTGCCAAAGGTGGCCGTATTTGTTTTGTGCTTTCAAAGTTTAAAAAGAAAACAACCTAAACACGATTTTTTTTTTGTTGTTTGAAAAATATAGTTGTGGATTCGTTAAATCTGGCTTGAAACAAATTATTTATAATAATCTTTCTTTGTTTTACATTTATATTTGTTATCATTTCCTCATTTCTAAATATGGTTTAGTTTTTTCTAAATATGGTCACCCAAATTATAAAGGCGACCAAATGGGATCAGCTGTTTTCGCTACCGCTCTAATTCTGTTTAAGTAGGCGAAATAGTTGGGCGAACGGTGAACGACAGCATCGCCCAATTCGGCGAAGTTTGCCGTCCGCCGGTATTGTATTTCAAGCAATAATCGTAATGAAATGAAATAAAATGGGATAAGACTAGTCCTTTCCTTCCGATCAAACAGCGCGACTCTGGATCTCGTCCATTCAGATCGCCTGCCCGTAGAGAAGTCAATAAGAGGCGGCTTGGAAACTAGTCCTTTCCAGCAGGGCTGCATAACTATATAAACAAAAAAATTTCGTTTCGTTATTTATTAAAAAAACAACTTATCAAAAAATTTCATTTGCTTATTATGAATAAACAAAATATGAAAATAAAAATAGTTTCGTTAGTTAACAAAAAATGTTAACGAAAAAAATTTCGTTTCGTTGATTATCAAAAAGGAAATATCAATAGTTTTTTTGTTTCATTATTGAAGAAGAAAATTGTAAGCAAAATTTATGTAGGAGTACGTAGCATTATGGGATTTCTTTTTATTAAATAATTAACAAATAGTAAACAAAACGCTGTTAAGAAATTATGCGAAAACTAATTGAGTAACATTAATATCGCTTCAGTGATATCATCACTCAAACCTATAGTCATTAATTATATATTTTAAAGTGGAGAACGCCCGCTCTACACTAACTTGCGTAGCGGGAGTTGCATGAATAGTTTTGTATAGCTGGTACAAGGTACTGTGAGTAAATTTTTTTGACTCCCAATAGTCTGCTAAATTGGCCTTCAAATCGCAATTTTCATTGAATGCTTCTATGATTGAAAATGCCTCTGTGGTATTTTCGCTTCTTGGTTCGTATTGGGAGATTTGGTTTAGTAGTGTGCCTGTTTATTAAATTTTATGTTTGCGGCAGAAAAAATTTTCCTTTTTTGATATTTTTTTTGATAATCAACGAAACAAAGTTTTTTGTTGACATATTTTTCTGATAATTAACAAAACGAATTTTTTTTGATAAACACATAATGTTAACATTATCGATGTAAAAAACCAAAACGATTTTGAATTTTCGTTTATTGATAAAATTAACGTTAATGTGCAGCCCTGCTTTCCAGCCGCCTAGTGGTGGTGGCTCTGGAAATAACACTCTTGAGCCGCATGCCCTACACGTGATATATTTACGGTACCGCTTGGAATCAAGTCCATTCCAACAGCATCGAGAATACAAATTAATTCTACAAAAACTATTTTAAAGCTTAGAAAAAAAATCGTAATAGGTTAACTTATATTAAGCTTTCATTTTACTTTTAATATATAATAATTTTGTAATATTCAAATGCATATACGTGAATAAATATAGGTCACATGACTATAAAAAATAAATATATAAATAAATGAATATTATTTAAATTGTGAATATTTTAATGTTCACATTGGTTTTCAACACTAAAAAAGTTTGAATTAGTCAATTCGCCTTGAGTCAATTAAAAATAGAAAATCAAAGGATGTTTTTGAAAACCTTTCATTCTTTCATGGTTTACGACCGTACAGAAACAAAATATTTCCAAAATGTAAGAATAGAAATTTTTGAGCCAAATTTCGCATTAACTAATGTATTTTGAACTTTCAGGAATATACACAATTTAATACGCCTTAATGCATTCCAGAGAAATCTTCTACGAGTTCAATTGGTTTCGTTTCGGTATTTAAAAATTAAGATCGAACCACCCAGAAAAAAAGAAACACACGGAACAAAGAATCGTCGCCTTGGAAGGTTCTTCGCACCAAGTTTGACCGTTTACAGACCACAATTGACGTCGGTGTTGTCTATATCGAATCGAGCGAGTTCACTTTTAGTTACTATGTATACTTGGGGATTAGGAATAGGCGCTTTAATATCCTCGCACGATAATGCACATTTTGTTACAATGCTAGATGGATTGCAAATGAGTTCTGCATCTTTATTTATTTTAAAATTCATGATCGCTTTTCCATTTGCTTACCATTGTTGCGCTAGTGTCAGAGTTTTAACCTGGGAAACAGGAAATTTTCTCTCTCTGAAGGGAATTTATCTTACTGGATATATAGCAATTGCAGCTACCATACTTACAGCCGCTGGCTTGGCGAGTTTGTAAACGTCTGTTTGTGACTTTAATAAAAAAAATGTTTAAAACATACAAAAATATATGTTCAAATATATACTTTTAAATGGCCAGTTAGTACCACCGATTTCAGAATATTTATTGAGTTCAATTGAGTGTTTTTTGGGGTGGGGTTTAGTAGCGCTCACAACTATTTCGGGCTATTCCGTCCAAAGGGGTAGCCCGATCCAAAAAAAAATCCACACACTTGTAGTCAAGGGTCTACGCATTATTTTAACACTCACTTTTGTAAATTTCGGTCACTAATTTTTTTACAAATTGGGTTTGAAATATGCGCTTTTTTGTAAAATTCGGAAATTAGCGTACATTTATCACTCCTATTCTCCTTAAAGCAGCCACTTCACCAATACATATTTGTATTCCCCTTCACTTTACACTTTACTCGATTAGTTATAATTTGCTTTACGACTTTAATATTAACCAATTAATCACAATTCATTAAATAAAAACACCTTCAAAATCACGCGTCTGACTTTGGTTGCATATGCAAATTAAATGGCGGAGTTCAGCTGTCAAACTCCAAAATATGCAAAAGAATGAGACAAAAGCACGGTGCAGCGAACAAAGGTGGCGCCGTCAGAGGTACCGCTACTTTGGTTTTGCCGATTTTGACAGTTGTGGTAACTTGTAAATAAACCTGTGTTTACAAATCAGCGAGAGAAATTCGAATTGTAAGTGAAAAATCAGTTTAAATTTTGGCAATTTGCAATTTGTGAGTGATTTTTGAGTTGAAGACTGCGTAAAAACTAATAAAATGAAGTGCTGTGTGTTAAATTGCGACAGCCATCAAGATACAAGATGCCTAGATGCAAGTGTAGCGCTGGGACGAATCGCTGCATTTTGTGTACATAGGGCATGGCAAAACCGTTATCGAAATGTTTCTTTATTATTACATTAACAGCATTTCCTCACAATGATTTTGCTTCTGGTCCAAGCAGCCTACATTACAGTAGCTACACACGACGAGCATATCCGCGCACATGTGCGCCAACATGCTGGCTGTCGTTTGCTACAAACGGCGAGCGGCTCATAAGTGATTTTGTACTCAAAGCGTAAACATGGAAAGGAAAGACGCGGATGATGCAATTGAAATACTTATGACTTAGGGTTTTTTATGTATGTGTTACTTAAATTTATTTATATTTTACTAATATGTATGTACATACATATACATATAGTAATTTAGCCTCATTTATCAAAAATTCAATTAACGCACATGGCTTGGATGCATTTATCCGCGATGTGCACACTGCAAGCATCAACACAAAGTGAGGTTGTTGTTATTGTTTCCAATGCGATGCTCGCAAACCACGCTACAAACGACGAGCAGCTCGCTGAAAATCAAAATTTTTTGATTTTTGGCCAGCATGTGCGCGGATATGCTCGTCGTGTGTAGCTGCTGTTACCAAGTTAACTAATCAATCCCGCTGAGATGCTGCGCAGTTTTCTGCAGCAGCCTTAATTGCAAGGCAATGGAGTGCACTAAAATGTTACCTATTCTCTAATAGATTAGGTAAAAATGCAATATTTTCGCACTTAGCAAAATTAAAACACGTTTTTCGCTGTAAAGTGAACTGTTTTAGCAGTTCCAACTCGTTCTTCTTTTCGCTCTATTCTTTGTTTACTTGTGGTACACAAATGTCAACGCCCAGGACGGCGCAATCTTGTATTCTATCATTCTATCATTCTTGCAAAAGAAGATAGGATATAACCCAGTAAGCATTACAAATATACAAAGGTGTTCTCTGCAAAAGGTGTTCAGCTCCTTTTCTTCGCAAAACAGAAAGGAGAATTCTACTGCCTGAGGATTAAAATCCCTAAGTGCGGCCGAAGGCCGCCTACGCAGAAAGGTATTCAGCCCCTTATTTTGGCAACACAGAAAGGAGAATTCTACTGCCTGAGTGTTATAATCCCTAAGTGCGGCCGAAGGCCGCCTACGCAGAAATAATTCTACGCAAAAATACATTTGTTAAAAAAACATTTTTTTTTCATAAAAACTTGTTTTTTCTATTTTTAATTAACTTTTTAATCTTTATTCAAAATCACCCGATACCTAATTTGGCATAATTTCTTTTATTAAAAAATCCCACGGTTTCTGTTAGTTGGGTCATATTCCACTCAAACTGCTCAGTTTGCCTAAGAAAATTCCGTTCAAACGGTTCCCTAAGGGACTGTGGGAGGAGCCCAAGGGGGGAGTGCGCCTTTTTAGACAGCGGGGACTGTCCCCTTTCCAGTGGGGGGCTCTTGTGGGGCCCCGCCTTCTCCCCCTCCGCCACCCACCCCAAAAACGATGTGCGCGCTACTAAACATTTCCCGTTTTTTGTGCTACATTAGCGAAATGCTATTGTTTTGAACCACCTTAATCCATCAACAAGGATTTCGTTTGCAAAAATCGCATTCATTCGCTTGTCCATTGTGAATGGCAATAATTTAAGACGACGGAAAGAAGAAGCACTAATAAATTTGACAGCTAAATCAAAGTGGACAGACAAATTTGGACAAAGTTGGAGCAAAGTACCAAAAATGTAAGTGCGATACAGTACACTTGAAATTAATAATTTTAAACGATTCCTTTAAAACAGGTATGCCATAACTCGTTCACTGATTCGTTCACCTGCCCTGCGTCAGGGTGTGCAAAGGCTGCAAGTGGCTGCTCCGGCTCGGCAAGTCACTTTGAAAGTTGTACCTGCAAGTGATGCGGTTCCAACGGAGACATTTGATGAGAAAAATCAACGTCTTGGACGTGAATTATCTCCACATTTAACCATCTACAAACCACAGTTAACATCGATGCTGTCGATCACTCACCGTGGCACAGGTTTTGCCCTGACTGGCTATGCTTGGGCTTTGGGTCTAGGTGCATTGATGTCTTCGCAAGACATTTCACACTACGTTACTATTATTGAAGGCCTGCATTTGGGGTCTGCGACATTAGTTGCACTTAAGTTTGCCTTGGCCTTTCCATTGGCATTTCACTCTTGCTGCGGTGTTCGCCATTTGCTATGGGATACCGGCCGTTTTCTAAAAATTACTGAAGTTTATTTGACTGGTTATGTAACTCTTGGTATTAGCCTCGTACTGTCGGCTATTTTGGCTTGTTTGTAAACATATAACTGAATCAGTTGGATATTTTTCTTGTTACCTTATGTTGCAGAGAGCTTATTTAAATTTATTTGGAATATTGGAAAATTAAAGTGATCTTAGCGAAAGTAAATAACGATACGTATGTAGTTCTTTTTGAGTATTAAAACTAACCGAGTGCTTAATTTTGCATTATGCAATGGAAAATTTATAGATCTTACCTAACTGGAGATGTAGTGATAAGGCGTTTAACCGGTTCATTGCAATTTCAGGAGAACCTATTTCTTCAATATTACCGAATTTTAACACTGCCGATGTCTTACGAAATTCATATCCTACCAAATCGCATATCTATAATACGAGCTCACAAGCATATTCATTCAGCAAGAGTTCATGGAGAGAGAGAGTTATTGAAGGTGGTGAGCGACACCCGCCTAGAATGTCGGGGCAAGCGAAACATTTAACGTTTATATGCCACTTGCTGCAGGATATCACTCTGACATACGTTCGCTACTCAGAGATAAAAACTGAAAGGTAGTAGGTGACTAACGCGCACCACGACCTTTGTCACTCTCCTTGTAAATGATCGTAAGGGAATCTTATTGGATGAGCAGATAGACGATTCAATTCGACGATGACGCCCCCATCAGAATTATGGGTAGCTGCAGCAGTTCTGTAGACCTAACAATTACTAACGCAGGCCTGATTAATCATCATCAGACCATCGTAATCTCGATCAACAAGCCCTCCTACTTTGCTCCTATGTCAACTTTACCTAAGCTGTTTGGAACGGCTTCCCGGAAGCTACTGAGGGCGGTTTCGCCGCCTTTCCCATACCCCCAAACGTACATGCTGGCAAGCGCCAGTTCCACAAGGTAGTTGCTGCCGCAGCGGCCCGCATCAGCATATATGACAATTGGCCAGCCGGTTCTGAACTATGCTGCGTCTGTTTGGTCCCCGAGGATTAAAACAAGTTGAAACAGCTCGTCTAACCCGGTCAAAACCGGTCGAAACAGCTCGTCTCTTGGTTCTACCGTTAGTTGAGCTTGACTACAACGATTGATGTCCAAACCGACCTAGGCGGGTCTTAGTTGTGCCGTTTCAAAAACAACAACGACTCTAAGCATTCAGTCAATAGCTTGTGTGTACACCATCGGGCCCAGTAGTTTTTTCAATGTAAATCTCGACCGAGTCCTTGTATTCGGAAAGACGACTACTGATGAGCCTGCGTGACTGTGCCTTTTTAAGCATATGCCAGTTCGGGTGCTCGCGTCTGTTGCACCCTACTAAGAACTGCTTGCCGAACAAGAGGTGTTCTCATAGCTGCCGAAGATCACTTGCTTCTAAAGTCTTGAAGGATATTGGCCATTTTGTGGGTTTTAGAAAAATGTCGAAAACAGTTTCGCGAATTGCTCGGCCAACTGTACGACCTGTACTAGGTCACTTAAAAATTTCGTGATTTTTTTATTATTTTGTAACGCCGTGTTATAAAATTTCTATATATGTATATATATATATATATATATATTTTTATCAATTTCTAAAAAAACATAAAAACTAGCGCTTCGGCGTTAACACGAGTGCACCTTGTCCAAAAGTATTAGGCACCCCAATACAACACGTTTTTTTTTTTAATTTTCTTTTGTTTATTTAATGTTTAATATTTTTTTTTTATAAAAGCATGACCCACTAACAAAAACTCATACATCCAAATTTCAAACTTTATGCAAAAAATATAAAAATGTTGCAAACTTTCACCAAAAATTCCAACTTTATATTCAGAATCTTTGGAAAAAATTAAGTATGCCGTTTTGTAGCCCATTAAGTTTTAGTATACAAAGTAGTATTTAGTAGTTATTAAAAATTTCCGTTGATTTTTGATGATTTTTTCGCTGACGGTGTTGTACATTTTCTTCCATATAGAAAAAAATTCAAACATACTTTTTATGGAAACTACTTAATACTACTTTGAATAAAAAGTTGGAAATTTTGGTGAAAGTTTGCAGAATTTTTATATTTTTTTGCACAAAGTTTGGAATTTG